CCATAAACTCGCTAAACAAGAACTTGGGCAATATTCCGCCGTCTTGACCCCACCCTTGGTCAATAACCCATATATACAGCTCAAGATCGGCAGTGCATTTACTGTTCTGTTTAACTGCTTTTCTTGTGTTTTATAGCTGGACAGAGTCGAGCTAGGTCGGCCATTAACCAAGCCATTAACGAGTACAAGAGGTTAACTTGCATCAGACTCCAAAGAAGAACAAACCAGAGAGACTACGTAAGCTTTAGATCAGGCGGTGGGTAAGTCAAATTTTACGCGTCTCAAAACTCATCATCATGCTCTTCTACCATTTTACAGCGCACGGAAATGTGGACAAGTGCTATTCAATGTGAAATGCGTGGCAAACGTTCAAGTTTCGTTTTAAACGTCCAGAGATAAGCCCCGTACTTTCCATCAATTTTAAAATCGGCGCACCCGTCCGATTTTGAAATTACTCGCGCGATCGATAATTATCTCCCTAAATTGTACTGCACTCGGTCCAATTACAGTAACTATATGTAATACAGTAGTAAAGTGTCCGAACTAGTCCGATTGGTTTTAGAGAAATAGGTTTTTTTTTCGGTTGACGCGTTTATTGGCTGTTTTAAACTAAGTTAAGAAGGGCTAAATTGTTACCATCTCACTTACAAGTTTAGAACTGGGATGTAAGAAATTATAATATATACATTAAAATTAGAGGTCATATTTGTGTGTTTCGACTTGGATAAGGTGTGCATCATGGGTAGGAAAAAGAGGAGGTAAGCAAGATATCTGGCTTGCACCTGGATGCTGGACCAAGGGGATTGTTGTTCATGAAATTGGTAAGTATTACTGCTCCTTGTTACAGAATTCTAAGACCTAAGAGCTATTATGTGCCGTGACCTTCCAGATGAGGTTGAATACTCTCATCCTCTTCGTACAAGTAACCAGGTTTAGTTTGTTATTTTCCTCGTTGTTTTAATCGATCAAATCTCATTAAGATTTCAAGGATAATGTCATCTAACCACTCGGCTTCCTCGTGTTCTTTTCTCAGGACACGCTTTGGGATTCTACCACGAACAATCACGTCCTGACAGGGACAAGTTCGTCACAATTTTGTTTCAAAACATCATACCACGTAAGTAAAACAATAGTGCTGTTCCATTTTTCTTTTCCCGTTTTAACTGCTTTTCGTAATGTAGTCTTCTTAAATGGCTTACGTATAGATAGGAATAGATTTAAAGTTATCTTGCACTGGGAGGAGCGCCGTGAAATAGAAATTTACATGGAGCTGAATAATGATTTAGCTTTAAGGATTGTGTGTTCGCTAATTACTTTTGCACCGTTCATTGAGCATTAAGTTGAAGACATTGTCAACTGTAGCTTTAAAGTGAGTACAATGTATATTTAAATACTTACAAGAAGAGATTTAAATATCAATTTCACTTGTAAACATTTCAATAGAACTCAGAAATTCAAAACTATCTTAAAAATAAAATAAGAGATGGAGCTTCGGCGTTTGCCTAACGTCATTATCAAGTTAAAATCACGAATAAGACTATAAAAAATAGAAATGTCAGCAGACAATTTCTAAGAGAAAGCAGTATAATGATACAAGTTATACCAAAAATGATATATTCTGTAAGCGAAAGAGTCACGCAGCGATTTATTAAATTCCCACCCTGTACACAGACTTTACTCCAAACTAGAGTAGTTAGATTTTTTAATATCTAATTTATAATGAACGGCAAGGTAAACTAAGTATTATACTGATCTAGTGCTTGAATTTTTAGGCTTCCAGAGCCAGTTCAGGAAGATAAGTGGGAGAGCGATTAATACCTTTAATTTTCCTTATGATTACGGGAGTGTGATGCATTACGGACCCACGTTTTTCTCCAAAAACGGCAAACCAACAATCGTGCCAAAACGAGCAGGGGTAGGTGTTTAATTTACACTTACAGGTATTGTAGAGAAATTAAACACAAACAGACAAGCAAACAAATTTAGTTGTCTCGTGTGATCGTCCGGGTGAGGGTAGCTATTAAACCAATTGTTGTTGCTGACTGACGTTTCGACAACCTGAGTGGAAGTCATCTTCAGAGTCAAGTGAATAGTGTTTGCCAGTCGATGGTGTTATAAGTCTGGTCCGTTGAAAGTGATTGGTCAGTTCAGCCGAGATCACGGGTTTTGCATCGGTAGTAACCAAGGTTATTTGAGGGTATGTATGGTGTAGAATTGATGACAATTTTAACACTATCAGTTGTGAAATGATAGCTGAAAACAGAGACCGGAAAGATTTGCTAAAAACTGAGAAATGGGCTGAGATTTAATTCATGGCTGATGAATCGCCGAAATTTAATTGGTAGCTTTGATTTTAGCACTCACACTGAGACCCCCTATTAACACCTGGCACGTGATTCCAAGGCTTCCGAGACAAAACATTAATAAATGCTACAGTTTTGTAACAATTTCTTACCTATATCTTACTTTTTCTAGGCTAGAATTGGTCAGCGAAATGGTCTCAGTCCATCTGATCGTAACCAGTTGACCCGTCTTTACCAATCGTGCAGAGTTGGTTAATAGCTTATTTTCAAAGTCTGAGGTAATTTCTGTGCATGTATAGCTAGAGCGCTTATAGAGCGTTCAAGGCTAGTTTTCACTAGCGTTTAAGCATAAGCCGACATGCGCAAACGTTATAAGATGCTGACATAACCAGCCTTTATAGAGTTATTCGCAGTTGCTTTTCATTGCGACGCTTTGTGATTTGTTTAAAAATCTCGCTCACTTTCTCATCCAATCAGACGTAAAACGAAAACCAATATTCTGATTCACATATACTCTTTTTCCCGCCCTTTTTGCCGGCTACATGTATTTGTTTCGAGTTTTGATTGGCTCATTACATTGTATAGTGTCGTTGCGTCATCTGCCCAAAGCGGTAATAACTTTGATTTTGTTTATATATATATATATTTATTTCGACACTCAATTGAAAACTGGTCTACTTAGTTTAGTTATTACATTGTTTCGAATTTATTTTGCTATATTCAGTGATGTGCTGCCATTAGACAGTGAACCGGTTTCGATACATTGCGAAAGTCTTGAGAAAACTGCCGTTAGCCTATTTTTTGGCGGTTTGTTCTTCTGTTGAGATTATTTACATTTACAATGTAGGTATTGTAAATTTTATTGTGCAAGAAAAAAAAACAAGACCCACTAGAGGCCCCTTTCTGGAACGTCCCGGTAGCTACACGTACCTGCCCGAAAAGCTGTCGTTTGTTTTCTGCGACAAGATCAAGACCTTAATTGTTTTGAAATTCAAACAATAAAAATATAAAGAAACGAAACCGAAAGGACCAGTTTTTGAGCTAAGATCAGCACTAACACTTCCTTGAATTTGAATCTGAAAATATGGTTTCGGGTCCGTAAAGTTACCGAGACTATCGAGAAAGGCAGCCCAGGCCCCTAGTCCATATATTGGTAATGAGTTGTTAAATATTGTAATTGGTAGATTTTCATATCATCCAATTTAGCTTCCTATGTCAAGATTGATTGACAGTTCTCTCAACGAAGGGAGACCGTTAATTATCTAAGGTTTATTTTACTAACCTTACAATAGCAATTTTTCTGGCTTTACTCATCTTAAACCTGCGCTTAGCATTATGTTGTATCATAAAGCGGTGAATAGCTTACTACACTTTAAATACACTACAGTTATAAGTAAAAGGTGTCAGTTATAAGTAAAATGTTTTTCGAGAGGTACATCTCACACAAAATTCCTTTCTTTTTTGGAATAAGTCTAGCTTATTCCAAAAAACGTAGAAATAATGAAACCATGAACTAAATTTAGTAAGTAAGCAAGTAAAACTTTATTGTCACATGACTTGCCCAGTCATCTCAGAGGCTGGTATTCAGCTCGGAATATAATAAACATGTGTTTTTTCTTAGGCGTTTGTTAAGTTGCAGAGAGCTTAATGCATATTTTACGACAGGAGAATTGAAAATAAACGTGTTTTTCCCTCTGATTGCAATTTTCTGTCAGATGCAACCTGAAACATTTCACCCATTGGGTTTGAGCACAGTATTGAGTTGTGACGCTGCTGATTGATTTCTTTTTATTCTTGCAGGTCATTTGCAAGTGGAAATAAGACAAATAATCTCAAAAGACATAAAGTAAACTAAATGGAATGGAAATATAGCTTAAAATAAAATAGAATAAAAGCAGTGGAAACGGTAAATTTGCGTCCTTCATGTAATAGGACAAATAATCTTAGAAGACATAACGTGACTAAATGGAATGGAAATATAACTTTAAATAGAATAGAATTAAAGCATTGGAAACGGCAAATTTGCGTTCTTCATGTAGTTTTAACTTTTTAAAACACTACTAATTTTTAAGGGAAGTATCTCAGCTCACTCCGAATGGAGTGATGACCTGTGTCGAGAATATCAGCAACAGTGTTTATGGCCTTGTTTGGGGGAGGTAACAATGAAGTATAGCGTAACGCTAAAAAAATGTGACGGTCAGTTTCGTAATAAATAACAATACAACATAATTCATATTATTCAAGTCGCGCGATCTTTGGCAATTCATTTTTTGGAAAAATAATTAAAAGCAATCGTTCCAGACTTATTCGGTCGTTGACATCAAAGATAAAATAGATGTGTTTTGCTTTTCTCTCCTGCATCCACTGCAGTATAGAATTATATTATAGATTCCCTTCATCACAATATTAATCCTATTTTGCTGGTCAGAAGAAATAAGTTTTGGCCAAATATTACGAAACAATTTCTGGGCATTGAAAATATTTGAACTACTCGAAAATCAATTTTCTGAGGATATCGCGGTTTATTAGATTTCATGCAGACATTCAACTGACTAGAAATATGGGCTCTTCGCTGAAAACAAGAGATAGGGAATGTTTTGACACTGGCATCTTGAATTTTCTGTTGAATTTAACACACATTTTGAGAGAATTTAGCCACTGTCACTCTTTCACTTCTGATAAAATGCTAAAAATTACGTTTGCGATATATATTTATCATAATTTACATCAAAAGAATGATCAAATAACCAAAAGGGACCAGTGTTCAAGATTTGCGACGCCTTTTCTCCTTTAATTTTTAACAACAGGATTACCAATTGCAATTTGAAAGGCTAGGTGAAACAGAGCTGGAAAAATCGTTTTTGTTACTATCTCTGTGTAAACGCGTCGGCTAAAACGATCGAACTAAAACGCCCTCAAAGCGATTTTGAGGATTAGAATAGCCGGCGGCTCATTGCAGAGAAGATTACGATATGGAAAAATCTTCAAACAAGCCACGATATCAATTTTTACATTGGAGCTGCGACTCAGTTTGAAATTATGCTAAATTTCAAGGTCTTGTAAAATGGACTTACTTCATAATTTGCTTTTGATACTTGATTACTTGTTTCAGTTGAGCAACTATCTATTTGTAAGACTTCTTTAAAGGCTTCCAACAGAATATGAAACCCCGTCACTTGGACGGTGGGCATAAATTTTCATCACGACTTGTAGTCGTTTAGATCGATTGATCCTTTTTTACAACTTCTTCTTCCGATACTGGGAAAACTGTAGTGGGACTAATCATCAGTAATTCAAGAAAGTCTTTCTACTTGTCTTAGTTCTAGTCAAATTAAGCTTTTAATACAATAATTTCCTTAGCAAAGTCATTTATTGGCGCAATTTGGTTATAATTTGGTTGTCATATTCTACTGATAGCATTAACAAAAAAAGATATTATGGCAAATGTTGAAAGGAATATATCCAGTTGCTTTTTGTTTTCGGAAACTTTTTTCTAGGAACGTCTATTTACCCCTCCTAGTTGGAATTTTGAATGCTAGTTATGTTAATAAGTATATGGCTACACTGCTCACTGTTGTTTAATAACATTTGTGGTGAGGGTAGATTTTTATGGGAAGGGAGGAGATAATACTTGTAAGACGAAGCTGTTCCAACATTACTGCTTCCTGTGGTTGAGTGTTTTTTATTCCATCCACAACTCCATAGAAAATTTGACAAAGTTACGCAGCGTAAGTCAATATTCAACCATGTTTGTTTTGCTACGAAAGAAAATTGCTTGGCTGCAGGTTTCCCAAACGTCAATAACATAGCAGATAATTTGGAAATGAATGAAAAGCCTGATCGTTGGCGATAAAGAGAGGGGGAGGAAACACGGGGGAGGGGTGGGGAATTAGGGGGAGAGCGAAAAAAAGAAAATGAAATTTGTCCAAGTTTCTGGTATGTTGGAAATATCTTGCCTGACTACCCTTACTTCAATGCGTCTTACCGCTTTTTTTACTTCTAAGTACTAGAAGTTGACTCTCAAATTAATATTATCGTAACAATAATAGTTTAGTTTCTAAAGCGCCTGTCTTTTAATGATTCAAAGGTGCTAATTACAAATAGAACATTCTACAAATATATAGCCTAAGCTAACTAAGACTATGAGAAAAACCTTGAGATTAAAGATAAAAATCAAAATAAAAGGACTAACGACTAATAGCAAATGTTACGTTCTAGAAAATTAAAAATAGAGACTGAAATTTACATAATTTAGATAAAAGAGCTCGTTAAGAGAGACAGGGGTCCAATAACGTTTGAAAGTGCCTTTTGAGTTCACCTTCCTTATACTTTCTGATAAATGATTCCAGAGCTGTGGGCTAGATTGGGCCTGGCCATATAATTTCAGGACAAAATCTGGCACGGAAAGTAAGTAAGCTCTAGAGCTCCTCAATTTGTTTGGTCGCAGCTTTGGAGAAGAATGAAAGAGTCACTAGCAACTGATAATCTGTTGCAAAGGAGTTACAATGCTTTATGTTACCCTTAAAATTTCCCTTTTCTCCCCCCGTCTATATCATATGCCGAAACCAATATTTTACAAGTTCGTGGAATAAGTAGCCCACTTGTCATGGTTCATCTGTACCAGATGCATTTAGTAAGATATCCTCCTCATTTATCATGCTAATCCAATTTACTTAACATCCTAAACAAAACTCGACCACCTCAAACAAAGGTCCAGAAGCGGCTTTGCAGATGAGCTAACAGTTGCGGTCAATAAATTCTCAGTCATATTGTTTCTTCTTACCACTCTGCTTCAGTGTCTTCAAGAAGGAGCATCATGAAGTGGCTATACGTTCTTGTCTTGTGCGGACTGGTGCTTGCCGAAAACCCCGACGGTAAGCGTTATTGTAAAGCTGCTCCGAGCTATGAGATTTTCGTTAAAGCGTCACTTCCCAGCGAGAAATCAAACGTGAAGCAGCAAGATACGTAATTGCATTTCAATTTTTACATACATGAATACATGACGAGTGAAAGCGTTCATAAGTGCTTCAAATTATACGCAACTCGACCTAGGATGAGAAAAACAGGGAAAAACACGTGCTGTTGAGCGTTTGAAACTATCACCAGGCACAAATCTAGAACTAAATTTTTTAAATTGTAATCCTAGAGAATGAGGGTCTTGATGACCCAGATCTGTATGAAGGAGACATGATCCTAACAGATGAACAGCGCATGGCGGCAGAGATGGGACTAGATGTAGATAATCCTCTTGGAAGAGGTTCAACTAAGAACAGACAATGGCCTGGTGGTGTAATGGCTTATGTCATTGACTCCAGTCTGTGTAAGTATGAAATGAGTGAAATTTCATTGGCTGTGTGCTTCAAAAAAATTTTAAAAGTTTTTACAAATAGGTAGTCAACAATGATGTGTGAGCTGAAATTACAGTCTTGATGGAATCATTGACGTCAAAAGTCATCATCTCAAACACTCTTGTTTAGTTTTTTTTGCTTTTTTGTTTTGTAAGAATAACCGTTTATATCAAGGCACGCGCTTTACCAAAAAAGCAGGACGCCAGGGGCTTTGCTTGAAATCTAGGTTAATTGCCCATATGCGAGATCTAAACAGAACAAACAAAAATGTTGAATGAATCTGGCCACTGTAGTCGCAGGTTTAATGTAAAAGTGTTAAAGTCAAGAGAACCGCAACAGAGCAAATATATCTAACAAATTAAGCTTTTGAATAAACAATGGGTTGACAAAAAAACCGTCACAAGGCACACTACTGTGGCTGAAGCCCTACAAGAAAAGCAAAGCTCGCGGTAAAATGAAAGCCAAAATGATTAGTGTGATTACTCTGATCAACGCAAGTAAACAAAACACAAATTTATGAGTACTTTTATACTTTTATGCTAGGATTAACCCAAATTTTAAGAATTTGCGAGGAGCACACACCAGGTCGAGGAGGGTCAATAGAGGAAATTTGTTTGGCTTTTCTTTTAAGCTACAGCACGAACTTTATAAAGCGTCGGTTTATGCAGGCCAATAACCAAATGCATGTAGGGACGTTGTTGAACATGAGGTTATGCTATTGCGTGGTTCATTGTAGAACATGGAAAATGGTAAAGCAACAACAACAACAACAACAACAACAACAACAACAAAAACAACATCAACAAAACTAGGAACCTTCTGCCTCAGTCCGAAAATTAGAAAAATATAAAAAGGGTCTTTAATTTAGAACAGGAGGAACAAAAAAAAAAGTATTAGTTTACATTATTCTGTTGAAGGAATCAATTGTAAGGGACGATATAACTGCCCAAAAAATTGTCGGATTACCCGAGTGCTTCAATGTCCACATTTTCTGAACTTTTGTTTTTTTGCCTGCTTATAAAAATAGATACTACTAATATCACGAATGACGATTTTCGATATCATACAAATGGTAATAAATATATTTTTTCAAAATGCACATTGTGTAGTAGTAAAGAAAAAAACTGAACTCAGAAATACGAGTGAAAAAGAGGAATAGCTCATGTTAGTTATTGTTAGTTAGATGTCCTGAATGATCAAACCAGATTTCAATTAAATGTTCTTTTTTAAGCTCGTGATTCCCGAGCCATGTCCGCTATTCGGCAAGGAATGGAGGAATGGACGAGTAAAACTTGCATCAAATTCAAGCAGAGGACAAACGAGAGAGCTTATGCAAACTTTAAACTTGGCTCTGGGTAAGTAACAGTTATGCTTAAGGAAGAAAGTTATACCACTGAAAAAGGGAAAACACGGTACGAGTAGTCCGCCACTGGGTCCGCTAAAACTGCAAAGTGACAGCTTAACCAACGCTTAGGTAAAAGAAAAAAAAAGGCTGCTCGATGTTTCGTTAAAACCATTCATCATTTCAACAACAAAAATTCAAAAAGCAGAATGACTTTCTTCTTTTAAGCTTTTCATTAAATCCCGCCCTTTTTTTTACCATTTTTAGCATGTATTTTCCTAGCTTCTTAAATTCGATGCATATTTGTGATTATTATGATTGTAATATTTATTACCAGGGTCTCGCTGGATACCAGCCATGAAGCTGAATAGGCCATCCAGGCTAAATTAAGTTTTGCTAACTTACTTAAGCTGCGTGTGGATTATTGCATGCTAACTGTGTGGTTATTTCCAGATGTTCATCATACGTGGGAAGAACCGGAAGTCGCCAAGATATCAATCTGGCGCGAGGATGTTGGCACAGGGGAATTGTAGCTCATGAAATCGGTTAGTAATATAAGTTTATCAGAGCTCACAAGAAATAAATACCCGAAAAGGGTGGGTAGGGTGTTGCCCAGAGGGCAAATCAAAGACTTAAGTAGAAACTGATATGAAAAAGTTGAGGAAAAGTTGACAGTAAAATAAATAAAGCCGCTCTACCAGCTCTATACTAGACAAACATTGACGATGAGTGGTGAACTTTTAAGTCACAGGGTTTGGTTGATGCTCATCTTTTTGATATGCAATTACTTCAATTAAATTTAAAAATAATCACCTTTGGAGTTTCCTATAGCGATATCTCAGCTAACAAATATGCTATGCACATTTTCTTTATGGTGTTTGACTTAAGTTCCCGAAGTCGGGCCCATGCTTCTTCCTTTCACCTCGATCTTACTAGGAGCTTATGAAAGCTAGCGCCTGAAACTCCAGATGTTTGAAATCTTATAAAGCGTTCATTCTTTTATTCTCAGGACATGCCTTGGGTTTCTACCACGAGCAGTCTCGTCCCGACAGGGATTCATACGTCACAATCATGTGGAATAACATCATTGAGAGTGAGTTACTCTAGCATTTCAATTATTATTTTTTTCTTATCAGCCTTTAGGACTTTATGGGGTGTCATTGTTAGCCAAAAAAGTATGCCATCGTCTCCCATTTAATGATCCATAAATTCTGTCTGATAATTCTAGGGACGAAGAACAAAACTATCTACCGAGTCAGACAAATTAAAAGACAAAATAAGCAATTGGCTTCCCATGCCACACAGAATTAATGAAAATAATCTTTTCGTCTAATCGACTAGTTAATAAAATTTTGGTTACTAATTTCACTCGTCAACATTTGATTACCCACACTTGTTGTACTTCACCACAATGAAGAATGTCTATTCCGTAAAACGTTTCCTATATAGCAAAATTATTCGCTTAGCCGGTTCGGTTTTCGGACTGTCGACGGGCGAAAATGGTTGTAAATGGTACTGTGGGCAAGTCGTTGCGTTGCGTTGCGCCGTAGCGAATATTGCAAAAGCTGATGTTTTGAGCTTATGCCTTTCGTCAGGGAAAAATGAACAATTGTGGTTTGTGTGGGTGTTATTTGTATACCGGTGTAAAAGTTTATGAAGGGCTGGAATTATCTGCGCTCAGAAAGGATTTTTACTTTTCTTGAACTAATGATACATGTATACATTTATTTCACGACCCCTTGGGGCTTTTCAGTCAAATATATTAATAACAAGAGAAAAGGATGTGGAGTAAAACAAAACACAATAAAATTAGTTCTATGTAACTAAAAATTAAAATTCAGAAATTTAGATTAAATATTTAAGCAAGAAAATTAACCGAAGTAAAGTAACATGAAGTTTCGACGTCTTCGTGTCACCATTGTCCAATGAATATATCAAAAATTACGGCAAGGCACATTTATAGTACTCAGGATGTGAGAAAATAAATTAGCAAACGTTACATGAAAACATTCGGGTAAAAAGTTTCGCGCGAATGAAATCCACTTGTGTGGAAATTATGGCAAATTTAATATTCGATTTAATGGACCTAAATTATGGAATGAACTCGATGAAAGATTCAAGTGTTGTACTTCTAATCAATTTAAAAAAGA